GAGGAGGTGGCCTTGAGGCCCAACAAAATCAAGTCACCCTCTCGCAATTCTGTCCTTAATGTGGTTGGAGGGCCTGCCAATAATTTGTTATGACGTGGGAAGAACCCATTAGTAGTAATTTTATATATTTTAATTTAATAACAACTAACCAAAAAAATAAAATTCATATGACTAGTAATTGATCTCTGATTTAGCTAGCAAATGGTTGTGCACCCAATTGATTTTTGAGTGACCGAAACAGTTATATATGTATAAACAGTTGAGATCATAACCATTGAAATTATGTAACGCTAACTTTGAAAAGGTTAAATCAGCTAGTACATGCATGCAAGCACGGAAAAGTTACATAATTTTTTTTTTTGACTTTACTCCATTCACGAAAAAAAAAAAAGAAACACATACATAATTTTATCACCATGAACAAGTCGATTATAATTAAATAGCGTCTTCCCCAGCTGGGTTGTTTGCCATAATCTGCATTAATCCCTCAAGCTCTATGGCTACATTTTTCATGGAAGGTCTTTCCTTTCCTCTCAATCTTAAACATCTTTTAGCGAGACCAGCCACTTTCTCAGCTGTCTCAAAATTTCTCTCCTTTTATTATTTCAGTATCAAGTATTTCATTTCACCGACACTGTTCAACTGAACGAACAAAGAGGGTTGCTAAGTGTCTCTCTCCCTTGGGCCAGCTCCGCTAGTACAACTCCAAAGCTATAGACGTTGCTCTTCTCTGTTTGCATGTTTGTATAAAGATATTCAAGGTCCAAGTATCCGCGTTTATTTGTCACTACAGCTGATACTTGGTCTTGATCTTCAGGAACCGAATTTGAAGTTGCAAAGCCCGACACCTTTGCCGTGTAATCCTCATCTAGTAGTATCTTAGTTGTCTTCAAATTCCTGTGCAGGATTGGCTTTGACATGGAGTAATGCATGTATGCTATTACTTCAGCGCATCCAATGCTATCTTCATTCGTAGTTCCCATGGCAATCCTTTCGTACTATGAATGTGTTCATAAAGATTGCCGTTGGGGATGAACTCGTAAACCAGTAAAGGCACTTCTGTCTCTAAACAACAACCCACAAGTTTGACCAAATTTCTGTCATAGATTTGAGAAAGAACAATTATAATATTAGCAAACTCATGACCATGAGCCTCAGAGATAAATTTAGACTTCTTTATGACAACTATTTTACTATCATATGGTAGTATTCCTTCATAAACAGTTCCAGAGCCTCCAACAAGAATTCGACTTGCATTGTAATTTTTTGTGGCCTTACTAAACTCGTCTGAAGTAAAGATTCTGGATAGCGACTGATGTGATCCACAACAAGTAGCTAGTTTCTGCAGTAGAAGTGGACCACCATTTTGCTTCAAGTATCTCTCCGCTAGGTCTCTTCTCTTCATTCTGCAATGTAATGAAAAAGATACCTGCACATGATTGAAAAATCACAACCGATTTGACAATATATATATAGCTAGAAGTACATACCGAATAAATTGTCAGGGAAGCAACTAGTGTTCTTCGATGAGAGATTGTATTTTTTATGTAACCCGTGAAGCCCTCGTTTTTGTACCCTTTGTTATTATGACAATTAACAGAGGAAAACTGCAACCGCTACTTTTACCCTTAGTTATTTTTGGAGTGCTCTCATAATCTGTGACTTGACGTTATCCTTAGCGGTTTCTCGGATGAATATTGAGATTCTCAGATAAGCAATTTTGTGTTTACGTGCCTCTACTCTTGCAGCGTTTGATTGCACATATGTCTATTAATTTAAAACAGGTAGCTCGGGATCAGTTGGTTAGTTATCTGTATGTAACAAACAAATTCATAATTGAATTGCAACGACATTTGAACTCATCAACGGAACTAGCTAGGCAAATTCATTTGCATGCATACTTACAAACCTCAAATTTCAAAGGCCCCACTAAAAACAGGTGGAGAATTTTTGCGGATGATCTGTTGACTCGGATATACCAGATTCAAGGACATCAACAAATATACCAAAATCAAAAACCGTTGCATTTGGTGGATTTAAAGGGCATAATTAAGCCGGTTAGAAATGTCGTATATATTTCTGAACTGGGTTATCAGAGCATATAAAAGTACCAGGTTCATTTGACCCCAAAAAACAAAAAAGTACTAGGTTCACATCCATTTTCAATTTGACATGCATCTTGCAAGCTGTCATTCGTTGAATAGCAAAAAAGTACCAAAAGGCTCCGATTACCCAATAAACAAACAAGTAAAATTTATCATACTTATTAACGAGAGACTGCGATATATATTTCATTTATTCACAAGGTTAAAAATGATGAGAATATTTTTGCAAGGATATAAACTAAGTATATGTTTGTAATTGTTGTCATAGTGAGTTAATTAAAATTTTGACCTAGAAAACCCTAAAACGCTGACCTAAATCCAATTAAAGAATGGTACCTCAACTTGATGAGAAAAACTTACATGATTATTAAGGATGTACAAAAAGAAATTGAATACACATTTAACCCATAGTGCAATCTCTACATCGGGACCCTCTTTGAGTTCCTTACACGAGAAGTAGATGCGAAGAATCCGTGGTACGTATTGCAATAGGGCAAAAATATTCATAAGCATATTGGTATTCAAAGCTCTCCAGCCTTCCACTTCTGAGATAAATAGGAGAATTACTATCTGGACACGATACAATGTTTAAACCAGCAGTTAAACTGAAACCTTTATGACGTGCGTGAGAAGAATATCAAATCATCTATAATATATTAACTGGTGCTACAGTCCTGTTTTCAAATATATCGCGTTGTGTTGATGAATCTGGTCTATATTGTTAACAGACACAAAACCTCAAGCATGAAGTGTAATTTGCTCGTAACTACAAGGAATTCTCCATGAGTGTAACAAAAAGAGAGATGAGAACAGTTAAAATATCGCTTGTGCCGTCGAGGTTTCTCCAAAAAAAAAAAAAAAAAAAAAAAAAGAAGAAGTAAACCTCCCCAGCAAAAGAAGTAAACAAAGAGAGAGATGAAAACAGTCAACTCCACAAAAAGGGCTTCTCTTTACCTGTGGAAGTGGAAGAATAGCTAAAATGTCAACCAGAATGTATGACCTCCAAATCGTCTCAACTATTTTGGTTGATCACCGGGAAAAAAGAAAAAAATACTATAAGAATTTAACTTTGAAGCAGTTTGTGAAACGAAATCATTTAATTCAGTGCGAAGAGTACTTGCGTACCTAGATAAAATTGAATAATAATGTCGACATGAGATTATGAATATCTTTTTCCACTTTGGAAGGATCCAGCGAAACAGCAAACCCACAGGAACTACAAATCCTGCAAGTTCTCCCCCCCCCCCCCCCCCCCCCAATCCAACCGCGAGCTCTCCACAAGTAGAGTTATTTCAGCATTTGCTTCGCGGTTCTCCACATCTAAAGTTACTTGGGAGTTAGCCATAAGTCGAACTTATTTGGATATATCCGAGCTGTGGACTATATTTATTTATAGCTAAACTGATTTGGTTTTTCGTGTGAACAAGTTCTTCAACGATGCATTCTACAGGGTGGAGCATGAGAGAGAAGGGGAACCTAATAACATGGGCAATAGTCTCCAATGAAGATGCAACCATTCCTCACTCTAAAACCAGATCTCAGAACCAAACGAGTCAGAGAGTAAAGTTGTCAGTTTGACAAAAAAAGAGAGTGAAATAGTAGTTTCTGTTAACTTTGACTAACTGCAGGGAGGAGTACTTGAGTGGAATTTCAATGAACTAAGCGCTGTATAACTAGAATGAAAGTTCTATTTACATTTATTTTTACTTTTCACATGTCCTTATTAATTTTTTATCATTAATCTTCTTCAATTCATTTGATTTGAGGATCAAAAACAAGTGTGTGAGAAATAAAAATGAATGTGTAAATAACACTACCCAACTAAAAGTAGAGTGCTCACGTTTTATCAACACGTGATAAGATTTTTAACCCCTGTAAAGTATGGATAAAAACATCTAAAAATACTTGTAAGAGTAAAAAGTAATTGTACTATAAATAGCTCATATTCGTTCTCCAAATAGATTTAATGAATTATTTGTCTTTAAAACCAAATCTAAATTAATTACTTAAAATAAAGTTTGGGAAAAGTTGATTTTGGAATTTAAAATAATAAAAACGAAAATAAAACAATTGAATTAAACTTTTAATGAAAATTGGCAATACAAAGAAAAGTAAATTGTTTTGGAAAAAACAAAGGTAAAAGGTAACAGCAAACAATCCTACGTGGTTTTATCAATTACTTATGAATTACACATGCAACTTTAAATGTTAGGTTTTCCTTATGCATATTCTACTTGTGTCATTCAAGCTATAACGTATATCAAACATGCAATCGGTCTTTGGCATTTAGATCAAATGTATACATGCATAACTCATTGTGCTTCGTGAAAATCCTTTGAAAAACCATACAACCGTTAAGGCATTCACCCTAAGTGAACATACAATTATTAGCCATAAGAAGCATTCCTCAATTTCATAGTGACATTCCAACATAAATTGCATCCAATTATTTATCTAAATATCTTAATGATCACGAAGCATTAAGGCACAAAGACAGTTTAAGCACAATGATCAATAAAGCATTATTAAAACTATGATTCTAATGTCATGTTATTGTGATTTCAAAACATGTCTTGCACTGACCACCAGGGCAATTCATCGCTCATGTAAAGTTCGCTGTTAAAACAACTTACTATTTGAACATCTCAACGTGATCACAAAATACGCAACTTATCATTCTATATCTTGAAACAAGAATTCCACACTTACCACATTTTGTATAACATATTTGTACAATCTCTCTAATAGAAATGAGACCTACTTGTATTAGCTGATCCTATCTCTATTAGAGGTGATACAGAAATGGTAAATGTAAAATTCTGACTTGGTTTTTCAGATGAACGAATGCCAAATAACTTAATTCAGTGTTAAGAAATTTAACTTGAAAATAAAGGGTGAAACGTAATCTAAAGCATATATACATGTTTCAAGTGCCCAAGAGGAATACAGAGGAGTAGAGGTTTTATCACAGGGAAAAGTTCTTATTACCGGAATATGGCAAGGGAGGATTTATGTACAGATAGCACAGGACGTTACAACAGTTACAAATCCCGGTATAAATGGATAATAAACTTGAACGACTGAACAGAACACGGTATGTAGATTTACGATATATATGCCTTCACCAGATCTGTGTAATTGCAGATCAAGCCTGTCCTTGGACAAGTAATCTTACCGTCATTCTTCCTTGCCATTTCTTCAAGAGCCTGCCGCCAAAACACAAACCAACTTAAAGAAGAATATTTCAAGACTAAATAACCAAGAACATTAATTACTCGCAAAATGCACGCTAACCTTAGAGCTGTAGACATAGCCGTTGGGCAAGACTTGTGGTGGGTTCTCCGTGTCCATTAGTTCCTTAGTTATGTAGCAAACAAGCTTCGAGTGATGCTGCTTAGAATAAGGTAAGGGCAGGGCTAGTTTCCGGAAACCCTCCTGCGATAGTGGATCCTCCTTGGTGCAATCATCATCATAACAATATCTGAATCAGGTCAGGGCAAAACTACATATCTGAATGCAATTAGCAGCTATAAAGCATGCACTGAAAGTACTGAAGGTGATTGAGAATTGCTCAAAATTCATTAAAGGGAGCTACAGTGTCGGGTTGTAAACCACTGGCCACCTAATGACTTACAACCCTCAAGTCAGCGAGACATGAAATAACGCGAGATCTTCACAATGGATTAAGTGCTTGTCAATGTCCTCCATTCTATGTATTCACAAGAATGAAAATGGCTAGTGAAGTAGAGTATATTTTGGTCGCTATTCTAATCAAATAACCATGTGCACAATGCTATAGCTGTTTCACCCTCCCCTTTAGAGTTTTGTTCTGCATAAGAAGTTTTGGGAGTTAACTCCATATAAATTTAACCTAATTGTACCAAGCCTACTACAATCCTGACTAAGAGGTAAATGTGGCAAGACTGAACAATGTATCAAATAAAAAATGAAAAAGGATACGGGGTTTTAAGAGCAGAAAGGCCTGCTTGCAGATAAATATTGAGCAAAGGCTCAAGTGTCATGCCATATAACTTGCAGAATTCCTGTTTAAATTGATCAACCAGGTAGTCCCATTGCTTTGGCTCAAATAACACCTGGAAAACATAACCACCCAAAGAAAAAATGAAATCACATACCAGAGATTAACCTGCAATATACAGCTCTAAATATGTAATAAAAGCACCAAACCAAAACATTTCACTGAAATGTATAGTCCAACGCATATATCTCCCAAGGAGATGGCACAGATATTGAGTCATTTATTCTTTAAAACCTAGTCCTATATATCAACTGTTCACGAACTGATGACATCTTAGAATTCCTTAATATGTATGCTGAAGGCGGGATAACCAACAGATACAAAATTTAATCAGTGGAAACTATATCCCAAAGGGTACTACCATCACAAAGAGAAGAAGCAGGCGGATACATGCTAACTTGTAGTCAATAAGACAACATATTTTCTATACAGTAACTTCAACTAAACATGGGTATGATTCAGCACATTTTTCTATTCCAGAGCCAAGTTAGTCTAGTTCCCACAAAATAATATGGGAAAACTGAAAAGTGAAAACTGTATGTCTATTCCGACAAAATCTGTAGCGCAATTAAATTCAGAGAAGTAGAAACTGAAAATGCTACTAGAACATTATCAGAAAGAAAAGGATCACCTTGTATGTAGCACATTCAGTGGTACTCTTATAAGCTACCGTTACAAAGACCCGCTGCAATTCTTTCATATGAGTAGTTCCCCAGGGTGCAAGATATTTCCGAGCATATGTGATAGCGATGAAGTTATTTTCAGCTCGTACCAACTCTATAAACTCTTGAAGTCTCAGTTGAAACTCAAATTTACTCTGCCATCAATAAAGCATTCAGCATTAGACAAACTAATAACAAATTTTCGATGTGGTGCACTAAGTGCAATTCAATTGGTATAACTGTCAATAGGAACCTTTTTGAGGAAGGAAGCAGTTCAAGCGTTCAAGATACCAACTACTACTAACTTAAATAAATCAATTTTAGGAACCATTTTATCAGTAATTCACAAGCAGTTAAAAGAAATGTAGCAGAAATAACATACATGTGGGAGCAATATCTTTTACCACCATAAAAGCAACAAATGACTTTGAAAATGACCTAGAATCTATGAAAGATAAGTCATCTCTTTTACGTTCATCTCCTACTATGTATTCCAACTATGGCGAAGCATAAGATAGAAACCCTAACTAGAACAAATAGTCCCTTGCAATTAGGATACCTAAAAAAAAAGTTGAAAAAAGATAATAATAAGTCAAGATTCAGATAAATAAAGGGTACCTAAACCCTTCGCAACTTTCTTCTGAACACAAGCAACAGAACAGATCATTTTAAAGACAGAATAGTAGTGTTAGCAAACTCGTCTAACCCACCAATTAAAAGCAAGATTCCCCTCCCCCCAAACCAAAGGGACTACAGACCTTGGATTTCTTTAACCTTGACTTGTTCTCGGCGCACCAGGCTAGGGCAGGACCCACGTCCTTATTCTGAAGGGCTTCAATAACCTTTTTCGCTTCTTGGAATACATCAATATCAACAAGATCCTGACACATAAGAAAGTAATCAAGTTGCCAACATGTACTAACAGAAAATATGGAAAACTTATGCAAACTGCAGTAGCAATAAGAGAGAAGGGATTCTAACAAGCAATGAATCTGGGAGAATAAAAGCTGTTATCCCCTATTTATTCTACTTACCTTCTTCACTTCCTAACTTCTATACTAGACCATAAAAGATCCAACCTATCAATTATGAAAGCAACAAGCTGCTTTCTTTCATTCACTTTCGACTAAAAAAAATACACTATAGTTTCACTCTTTTTTTCTTTCTGTACAGAACTCCCTTGGTCAAGCTATAGTTTAGTCGAATAATTCCTTCACTAATCTCAGTACGATATTTTCTTTCCATCGTTAGAAAATGTGAAGATGAATCTCGTTCAAATTGTAAAGTAGCGTAAGCAATTGGATAATGAGCATGAAGATAATAACAAAACCGTTTGCCAGATATATAATATTAACATTATAGTCACCCTTTCCAAATTCTTCAATCCCATTAATGCATTCAAACTACAATAACTCATGATATTCAAACCTTCCACGAATTCATAAACTTTGGAAAGAACAACACTTATGACAGAGCACACTGCATAAAGAGCCACAAACATGTAATGTAAACAAATATACGACAGGAAATCAAAACTACCTGAATATTTCTACTTTCCGCCAGCTTCACTGCGGTGTCATAATAAGACATCCGCAACATGTAGTCCACCAAGATCCGATTCACACGTGTGTTATTCCATTCCGCCAGACTCTCCACATCTGCCGATTCTAAATGATCAAGCCGAGCCCGGCACCTCTGCGCCTGCAAGTGCTCTGTCTTACTCCCCTCTTCCAACTTAATCACGAAAAACAAACACCAATCAGCATGAAAATTCCAATAGCCAAATCCAATCACTCAAAGCACAAATACAAACAAAAGATAATCTCTTCAATTCTTAAAGCACGAATATCCAATCTCGATTAGCTCAATGTCGATTAAAATCAATGAATTTCAACAGTTTAATAGTCAACGTCCACTCGAGCTGACAAATCCCGAATTAACCTCTGTTTGGTTGCCTCGAATTCATCGGATACTCGTTCTTTTTTATTCCCTCTCACTCCTCCCCCATTCAAACAGGACAAAACAATCCAATCTAGGGTTTACAAATGCAGTACCTTTCGTTTTAGCCCCTGCAGCCTGGAAACGAGGGAGCTGAGATGATTAACGGCGTCGTCAGTCGACATGTCGTTCTTGTCGGCGGCCTCGGAGACGCCGTTAATAACGGCGGATATCTCCTTCTCGACGACGCGGTGGTTGGCGCGGATCGTCTTCTTGTAGTACTCGAATGGGACTCTGAGGAACTGGTGCTCGAGCTTCAGGGAGTCGGCGAGGTGGCTCAGTTTCGAGGACGGAGGAGGACCTGCGGCGGTGGGGCCCGACCCTAGGGTCGGTCCCGGCGACGCGGCGGTGCCGTTGGGGAGGGAATCCATTTCCATTGAAGAAGGAGAAAGAGATGGATGGAGAGAGTGATTGGGAGATTTGAGTGTGGGAGTTTGATGAATGACAGAGAAAGAGTAGGGACAAAGGCATATAAGAAGACCTTAAACGACGGCGTAATTATTTCGTGGTTATTTCTAGAACGGTTCCAACTGTTTTTTCTTTTTTGGGTCAGAAAATGCTTCATCAGTGAAAGGCCCAATAAAAGCAAATATATGGTGAGGCCTGGCCCAAAATAACAACTCTACCAGTCCAAACAAAAATCCCAAAACTAGAGCCCAAATAAAACGTTTACTTTATTTGACAATATATCGGCCCACATTGTCCATCTAGAAGTGATCAGCTTAACCATACAAACGTTCTTCTTTTTTTTAACAACCGGTAACGTCAGTGAATTAAATTATCAATGGTTTGTGATTAACGTAACAATACAAATGTTGTTACCAAACCAACCAGTCATTTTCTCGATCATAAGTTAAAGATTAGAAAAAATTTATTTGAACCAGTTGCCTAATCTCTACACTGGTATTTTTTTTATAAATTTCATATTCCAATTATGCCCTAAATAAAAATGGGTGTAGTGATAAAATGTTGAATTACAAGCCAATTTGATTAATTTTTTTAATTTTTTTGCAGTTAGTGAGCTTTAAATGATAATTAAGCAAATAAATACTTATGATTTATGTACGATTAAAATACATCAATCACAATCGAGTGAATAAAGAAATGCTGATGTAGTGGACCAAAATATTTTTCTTATTTATGTGCAATATTGTTACGCTTATAAGAGAAAAAATTAATTGGTACGAATAAGAGCGGTGACATGATAAAACTTTCTTTTTATAAAGTAATTTTTCCACCATTTTTGTCACTTGAGCAAACCCTAAGTTCATGATCACTAAAGATACAATGTTGCAATGTGAAAAAAGCTAAACGACCTATAATTGCTATTCATCATGACTTATACTCAACGACGGTACACGCCACATAATTTATAGGATGGATGAGGACCCATGTAGAAATTTCATAAGTCATAAGACCTATCAAAATTTAAATTTCAAATCGTGTATTTTAGTTCCAATGGGTTTTTTTGATATGTTATTTTCTTTGTAAATCCACTTTTTTTTCCAACTAAGCACTCGGAATTTAATTATTTGATCAAATCCCTATGTATTGTCGTCAAGGGGGTCGCTAGGTCTTCTGACATTTTTTTAATACATGTCAATGGTAAAATGTATTTGCCATATGCAATAACCCATTTTTCAATATAATGATATGTTTATACTAAGAGGCTGGGGATTTGAACTAAAACACACAATGAGCTAGCTAATTTCGTATTGAACTTGCTATCTACGTGAGTCAAACTTAAGATATCTCACTTATAAGTATAAAGAAATACTACTAAACTGCAATGCCAAGTAGTACCAAAACGCTTTTAACTTTAAACAAAACAAAGTAACATCATGTAACAGAAGATTCTCTACACTGCCAGATAAAATGTGATAATATTATGTTGTCAAACAATCTGACATTTTCTAGCATCACGTTTTTAATATATCCGCACAAGCAAACAAAAATTGCACCTGATTTACAAGAAATTTTTTTTGCAACCCCCCAAAATTCCAACTAAATAGTAAATGATGGATTGTCATAATAGATAAAACATTCATCTTCAATCCACCCCGTCTCTAATTAAAACTCTCCCCTTATTATAGTTTAGCTTACAATATAACGTGTATCATTAGTATAATTTTTTATTTTTAAAGAAAAAGGAAGCACACCTCTAGACCACGAGTATTCAAGCTCACTTATACCTGTACACACCAGATTCCGGCTCTATTAGACACCCGCTCCTCCCCCGCTCTTCCCGCAGACGACGACAACTTTCAAAACTTTCGGTTTCTGACTAATTTACCCTCCCAATATATCACTAGCCCAAAATAACCCCAAAAATAATTAATTAATTAAAAATAAAAACCAAAAAAGCCTTCTAATTGGACCGGGCCATATCATCATCCATTGACTCATTCTCACTCCCGCTCTCACTCTCTATTTTCTTCCCGTCATCATTAAAAGAGCAGCCGCGCACCCAAAACTCGCCGTTTGGAGCTTAACGGTCGAAACGCCGGCCCCTAACGCCGTTTAAGCAGTAAGACTCTATTTCCTCCTCTACGGCTCTACCTCTCTCCCGCCCGTTTAAATATCCGTTTCCCATAAAATTCGGGTTTCCTAGTTGGAACCCATTTACCCAATTTATTCAACTTTTTTGAAATTTGAATTTCCAGTAGCAAAATCCAAAATCGGACCAGCATTTTTAAGTAAGTGAGTAACTCCTCAAGATTTACAGGATTTAATTTCCAGATTTCTTCATTTTTTTTTTTAATTTTCGGTATTTGAATCGCTGCTGGATTATCTGCTTGCTGACCGTTTGCAAAAGCAGAGTAAGGAATTTTCTTGACTCTTGTTCTTTTATTTTTCTCTTGTTTTCTTTTTTCGTTTTCGTTTTTCTGTTTGGTTGCCGAGAAAGTTGAGGAAACTGGTCGCTGGAAGGGGAATTTTGGTTCGAGAGAGGTTTATCTTCTCTGATTTTCACTTTTTCCATTGAAAGAAATTTTTTGCCAGACGTAGATGATGAGTTTCTTTGATTCTTGGTGATGAAATCGTTGGAAGTGTGAGTAACTCAATCGTTTGTGTTTTTCTTTTCTGGCGTTTTCACAGCGGCCAAACAGGAAATAAGTTGATTGTTCGTAGAAGATTCTCGAACTGAAGAAGTAATCGTTTGTTACTTTTTCTTTCGCCTTCTTTCATTTTCTTAGTAGCCAAACAGGTACTAAGTTGATTACAGAAATTGTCAGCAGTCATATAGTTACTATTTTTTTTCTTCATTTTCTCGGTAAACAAACACTCGTCGTCTATTACTTGTATTTCATTGTAGATATCTGGATCTGGTTTTCTGTACAATCTTTTGTTTAACTGCAGAATTGATTTGTTTAGGATTAGGATCGTGATGAAATGCCTCGATTTCGTCGCGAAAAGTGTTTAATAATTTGATCCTTTTGGCGTCAGAGTGCACAGATAAAATGTCAGTTGTTTAATCTTAGGCTCCAAATTGCCCTCCCTGTGTGGAGAAGATTAGGGTTTAAGGATGATGAAAATGATGAGGCTATTACTGTCTTTTCACTACATCTCTGGCTCAGCTGATAAAGCCCAGATTGAGATCGAATCAGACCTACTGACACATATGTTTTGTGAATTACTTTATGTATTTCATGATTTTCAACGTGACCTCCTAATTTAAAATGCTACTATTTGTTTATTTAGTTTTTAATTTTTCTTGTGTTCCATTTTTTAACTCTGTGTGATGCATGAAGCTAGTTGCTATTGTTAGTATCAGGATGTTGATGCATTAGGCTCCAAAGTCCTCTGTAATTAACTGAACTAATCTTCTTCTGTTTCCGGTTGCAGTTACGGGTTTAGCAATTTCATATATTGGTGTATCGTTACTTCAAAGATCGTAGTTACTTAAGATTCTGGTTTTCGAGAAAAAGGGTATGAATTCCATAAAGATTGAATTACAGTGTGTTTAGGCAAGCAATAGTGATAATCAACTATGGTTTCGGCAAATTTTTCGGTAGTAGAAACTTGAATGATTTTGGCCTTTGGGTCCTGGCATTCTTTTTTAATCAATATCCTTCACTTTCTCTGTTTTCTGTACTTATTTCAGCCAATTTTATTACTTTCCGGTTCATGTTTGTCTCATGATTATTTTGCCCTTTGCTACATAATGTCTTGGTTTCTTTTCTTCTGATGGGCATCTTAAATCTTATTACTTATATGTTGAGCATTTTGTAAGGTTGGCATTTCTGAATTGATTATCTGTACAATGATTCATTTGCTTTTCTGCCATCCCCACAAATTTTAATGGCAGTCTTATGTTTTCTGTTCTAAATTATTTTAGGTTCAGAGAGATCCTTTTGGACAGAATTTAATGCGCCGCGATTAGCATTTTCTGCCGAAGATTCAAACATGAAGAAGCTCTTCTTTTTCAGATCTTCTGCTTCTAGTAATAACAACAATGTTCCTCCACCAACTGATAAGCAGATATCTGATGCCGAGAACTCCAATAAAAGTCCGGCTCTTAGAAGGAGCCGGTCATTGTCATCAGCAGCATTTCTTGGAAGTGAGCCAACGCAAACAGATTTTTCTTCTTCGAAATATCAAAGCAGATCTCCTTGTAGTAGTAGTGCAAGGAGCTTTCCTCATCAGCAATGCGACCAACCATCTTGGTGAGGCTTTTGTATCAGTTTATTTGTTAATGTCATGAACTTGTTTACTGGAGCTCAAGTACAACATTTAGACTCCTGTTTAGTTAAAGTTTTCTTCATGAAGCTAATTTTACTGGTTTTGTGATATGTACCAGTTGTCGAACTCTTACTCCTGAGAGGCATAGGACTAAACATTTTGAAGTTCCATCTCTCCAAAACACACATGGATTGGAGAGGCCTGGTTCTGCTGGTTCTTCTAGAATGCGCCATGATTCGTCAGGGAGCTCTTCCACTTGCTCTAGTAATGTATCAGCCAAAGTCTTGGACCGTTACATTGACGGAGAGCAGGAGGAACTGAGCAGACAAAAGAACAGTTCTTCCCAGAGACACTTGACTGGGAATGGTGGTGGTGGATGGCGTCCACCGCGAACTCAGTTTACAGCACCCATTTCACCTAGGGCTCATTCATATAGAGAGGCAAAAAGTTCTCGTCTTCGTTCATCATCCAAAGACGGGGCAGAAAATGGATTTGGGCATGAATCTCCCCGGAGGCTTGCAAAAAATGTCGTTGAGAGGCTCTCACAGTCTCATGTTATTCAACCAACACGTGAGAAGGAGTTTGACCATGATATTCCACTCACCATTGAGGATATTTATGGTAGATCAGATCTGATTGCCCAGAAAAATTATCCTGCAGATGACTACTCAAGCCTGCAGAAGTTGTTCTATGGTGAAAACTGTGATGGTAGAAACACCGATGAGACTGAAGAGGACATGGATGTAGAATTACAAAGAAGATTGAGGGAAGCAGAGGAGAAGGTCATGCTACTTTCTGACGAACTTGAACAGGAAAGCTTTCTTAGAGATAGTGGGTACAATGTTCCATCACTGATTCAGACAATTAGAAACCTAACTGAGCAGAGGGTAAGCTTGGCACTTGAGGTTTCAAACCTCTTACAGTTGCGAATTGCTGAGAGGGCTTCTGCCAAGAAAGAACTCAGACTGGCAAACGGAGAACTGGAGTCGCGAACGAAAAAATTAGAGAAGGAGAAGAATGAGTTGCAGTCAGCATTGGAGAGGGAACTAGACAGAAGGTCGACTGACTGGTCACTTAAGCTCGAGAAGTATCAGTCAGAGGAGCAGAGGCTTCGTGAGCGAGTTAGAGAGCTTGCAGAGCAAAATGTCTCACTTCAAAGAGAAGTCTCTTCCTTTAATGTGAGGGAAACTGAGTATAGAAGTGTGGAAACAAAATCAGAGCAACAGCTTAACAGCCTTGTTACAAGGGTGGGGGAAATGAGAGAGGAGAATCAAGAACTGAAAAATAATCTCTCAGACTTGCAAGAGAAGTATAGAGCAGCAGAGGAAGACCGTATTTGCATCCATAAAAATTTTGATGAGAAGGATAAGGAGTGCAAGGATCTGCATAAGTCCATTACAAGATTACTGAGAACCTGCAAAGAACAAGAGAAGACAATAGATGGCTTGCGTGAAAGTTTTAGCGAGGAATTTAGGAAGAACCAATCCGTGGAGAGGTTTGATAAGCACGTCACCAAATTGCAGATGGAGCAAATGAGGTTGACAGGAGTAGAACTGGCCTTGAGAAGGGAGTTGGAATCTCATAAGCTTGAAGTTGATTCTCTTCGGCATGAGAATATACACTTGTTAGACCGGTTGAGAGGAAGTGGGAAAGAAAATGGTGCTTTAACTTTCAAGCTAGATAAGGAAATGTCGGCACGAGTCTCCTACATGAAGAATCAAGGGCTATCAATTCTAAACGAGAGCTCCCAGTTATGTTCAAATTTACTAGAATTTGTTAAAGGGAAAGCAGGCCAACTTCCAGAAGCTAACAATGGCTTGGATGGGCAATTTTTTGTTGAATCTGAAATGAAAGTTCAGGGCATAAAGCGTGGAACTGAAAGCTTTGCAAGAAGTTTGCAGACAATGTCCACTTTGCTGCATGAAAAATCCAGTCTGTCCACTTCAAAATTAGCATCTAAGTGCACGAATGCTGATGGACCAGCACATCCAGATGATCAGGCTCCAGAGGTTAGTATTGTTATAAGAACACACTATATATGAATTTTTCAGTTTCTTATTATGTTAAACAAGTTCTTTTGTTTCCATTCTAAAAACGAACTGTTACGGATGCTGTCACTCTTACTTATGTAGGACGACATGAGATATGAGCTCAAAGCAGAAACTTTACTAACAAGTCTACTGAGAGAAAAGTTGTATTCAAAAGAGCTGGAAGTTGAGCAGTTGCAAGCCGAACTTGCAGCAGCTGTAAGAGGAAATGACATTCTCCGATGTGAAGTGCAAAATGCAATGGACAACCTTTCATGTCTCACCCACAAGTTGAAGGACCTTGAAATGCAGGTAACCGTTAGTATCACATATAAAATTCAATGTTAGTGATCATTATATATTTGGATCTGATGCGTTGTTTTTTATATGACGTACGTGATGAAATTCTGAGAATGATCTTTCAGTATTGTTGAATGATGAAGTATATATTACAAAGATTAAGGCATGTAACTAATAACTATTTCCCTGCTTATTCCGTAATAACAGATGCTTAAGAAGGACGAGAACATAAACCAGCTTCAGAGTGACCTCCAGGCATCAACGAAAGAATTAACAGTTACTCGGGGGATACTGCCTAAAATTTCAGAGGAGAGAGACATGATGTGGGAGGAGGTGAAGAAATACAACGAGAAGAACATGTTGCTGAACGCAGAGGTTAACATGTTGAAGAAGAAGATCGAAACCCTTGACGAGGACATACTTCTAAAGGAAGGTCAGATCACAATTCTGAAAGACACCATAGGGAACAAGCCTTTCGACCTTCTGTCCAGTCCCGATAGGCGAGAATTTTTGCTTCATTGATTGTCAAATGGCAGGGGTTTCTTATGGGGTGAGTAAATCACATTGTTCATAGTCCCATACTCCCCAATGTCTAATAGCTTTTCTTTCTTATTTTCCATTTGTACACTTTTCCCTCCTTTTCGTCAATAGATAAAGAAGCGAGAAACATATCATTATTTGGTTGTAACTGGTCTTTATAGTTGTTCATAGTTGGTTTGGTTTCGCTTGTCGGCGTGATCAAGATATTCTCTATATCTTGACAAGCAAGTTAATGAATTTGTTTCACTCTAGAGATTTTCTGTGTGTTCTGTTTTCTGGTATGGTCGAATCCGATGAGGATTTCAAAATTCATTAAACTGTTTGCCTTCGTTAAACCAAATCAAAAGACAGCAAAAACCCGGAAAAAAAAGAAAAGAAAGAAAGAGAAGAAGGCTACTCGTTAAAACTAACAACATGGGGCACAAAACCACCACCTTTGGAGTGACAATAATCAAATCCATACCAAACATTTTCTGGAACAAACGTTCTAAAATAGAACATGTAAGAAACCGGCACTACCACCCGGCCGCCATCCTGTCGATGAAGCACCTTCACCCAGCCAGGCCGCCAGTCATCCGACCCAACCTTCTTCAGGTACAGAGAGCACACCCTCCGGCTCATGCATTGTCCACTGGCCTCAAACATGTCTATGGCACATCGTCCAAACCCGCCATACCCCCCACTTCTCACACCACCTTTTGCAGCATACAATGGCTTAGGGTTGTTCAGATGCTTCACTATGATCAAATTACCCTCGGAGTCCCCGAACCTGACGCTGACATGGTCCGAGGTTGCGGCTGATCGTGCACATGTTGTCTCAATCTCGACGGAGTAGGAGCAGTTTGTGCTGGATCCTTGGACTGGCAGAGAAGTGATGAAGGCTATTGCAACGACAGTTAAGATGCTTAGTCTCTTCATTTTTTGGGTGAGAGGTGGTGAGTGAAAGTATGGAACAACTAACTAGTATATAATGCAAGAGGTCTCTCTTTTGTTAGATTCTGTGAGTACTGATTAAGTAAAGGTAATACAAATGGACGTACTTTGAGAAAGAAGAGATTCCCATTTCCCACCACTTCCACTCTCTTTTATTACTGTTACAGATTCTCATCCGACCTCTTTAAGAGTAACTCAACCCGTTTTAGAAGGGCAAGGGCAATAAAAGTGCACCAACTAATTACTCTGAATAGGAATTGTTTTTGTGCAAGTTCACTCATTTGTGAAGAGCAGGGACATCATTCATAAATATATATTTTATGCTTTGTAAGTTTGTTCCATGAGACTAAAATGATTGTCTAATTTCGATAATATATTTCAAATACAAGGAATGAAGATGGCGGTAGGGTCTTTATAGAAAAAATTTGGGTATTTTTTGGTATTTTTTACCGTTAAAATAATTATGATCGTTGAATTTCAAAATTATTTATGTTGGATGGTCCAGATTGCGCCACGTGGTAGCTGCAGAAAAAAATTACAATTTTTTTATCATTGAAAATCCAATGGTCCAGATCAACTAATTGTTGAAAATACAACGGCTCCACTTGGAAGAACAAGGAGCCAATTGGCTTTGGGGTTGCGCACGTGGGTGGTCCCCGCTCGGTCCATTTTTGTAGGAAAAGGATCCTCGCCGGATCCCTTCCTTCTAATCGACCAAGTTCAGGGATTCGGATCTTTGAAATTTGATCCAACGACTAAAGTTATTATAACTTTTAAAGTGGGTCCCTGTTTGTAGCCATTGGATCAAATTTCAATGGCCCAGATCTCCGAACTTGGTGGATTATGAGGAAGGGATCCTATTTGATCCCTTTCCATTTTTGTAGGAATAGGATCCTCTTCGGATCCTATTTGTAGGGATCCGAATGATCAATCAATCGTGTCCGTTCATCGTACATCATGCGGTTAGAAATTATTTTTAATTTTTAATTTAAAATTAAATATAAATAGTACTTAATGAAAATTGACCAAATAATGTACAATAAACGGACATGATTGATTGATTATCCGGATCCCCACAAAAAGAATCCGGAGAGGGGATCCTTGTCCATTTTTGTAGGCAGCGGGCGCAAGCCCAGATGATTCTTGCAAGGTCAGCTGAAAGGATAGAAGCCCTCGGCCTACTTGCCCAGTCAACCCAATTGCTGGGGCAAATGGGCGAGTGCCGGAGGTTCTCTAACCAATGTAGTAGCAGAGAGAGATTCTTGCCTCCGACGGTCGAGCAGATGAAACCACTCCCAACGGAGTGGGACTCTTACATTTGAGTTAACAAGAGTTTGTAACATGGGGCGAAAGTGGCTCCTAAATATAGTGATTTCCGAACGCTCTTTTTTTTGCAAGTTAGAGAGTCCACCTGGTGACGAGGACTCGCAAACTTGTAGCCATCCAGCACATGCGGACAGATCGGTATTGACATTTTCCATGTCATATGATGTGAGTTGAGTCAGCTTTATCAACAGTAATTAAAGAAACGAAAGCTTTAATTTTAATACAAAGCCTGAAGCTACAAATCTTTAAACAGGCTTTATTAATTCTAATGAGATTGAAGTTCGAATAAGAAAGCTATAATAAAAGTGTACACAGAATCAACTACAAAATAAGAAATAATCCCTTGATTTGAGCTGCATCGACGCCCGTCATTCCTATAGTAACATCCTAAAGATTCGACTCGCTGCGTTATTCTTCATCTACAAGTACAGCAGAAGTTCCGAATGGCTCTTAGTCTTTGTAGCAAAAGGGCTCACAGGGAAAACCGTCCCAAAAATCAAAGGGATGCAGATTTCCAGAACTCGACAGGCTTCCGGTGCTGAAATAGGAAACGAATTAAAAGGACTTGGTTACAAGATAGGCATAATCATCAATGATCCAACATAATTCATCAACAGAACAAATATACACAACAGAGCAACGGTATATTAAACATACACACGACCCTAAGAATTAACGGGATCAAATAATTAATGCTGATTAACAACGGGGGAACCACAAGGGCCATTTATCCCATCATTTCAAAGTCAAATAAGTTTTCAAGCGACGTTCTGGTTTACATATTTCATTGTCCAAACTAGACAAGAAAGAACTTAACGTACCTTGGCAATTGGCATTTTTTCTCTCACTGAATCAATCAATGAGAAGTCGATATCGGCTATAGCAATCCCTGTTGACCGTCGATCTGAGAAAGAGAGCAAAAAGTTCAAATTATGTTGCAGCAGTGGCTAGTATAAGTACTATGGGCATGAGTTTAAACAATTAGCCATGATTTAAAGCCACTCAAGCAGCTTGATGTGTAAGGTAATCAAGTCCTCACCGGGCAGTCGGCCAACAACTGTTCCCCAAGGATCAATAATTAAAGTTTCTCCGTGGCTTTCTCTATTATCATTATGCTGCCCAGCTTGTGCAGAAGCTATGACCTAATAATACATAAGTAACATAATCATCCCAACGTGACATTGTAAGAAAAATCGTTCCCTAGAAACAAATATGAAAAGGTTACGTTGATGGAGAAGAAAAAGGGATTCATACGTAGCATTGAGTCTCAATTGCACGAGCACGTAGAAGAATCTCCCAGTGCGCCTGCCCAGTTACTTTGGTGAAGGCTGAAGGTACCAAAAGAATCTGCGATCGTAATGCAAGATGTCAGTGCGAGATGCTAAATTACCATGTATAACTTTAAACCTGCTAAAAGAAAATGTAGTTTTACCTGTGCATCATGTTGGAACCTGAGCAGCTGGTAAATCTCCGGGAATCTCAGATCATAGCATACCGTCAAACCCAAACGGCCAATAGGGCTATCAACTGCCACAACATTCTTCCCTGAAAATGTGAACAAACTAAGTCTCTGACTATCTCACACCAAAAAGATAATCAACACCAACAATAGTAATAACATTTTGATTCATTAGCACAACCCCGTATTTTGAACATTTCACATACGGGCAAGAACTTACCAGGTTCGGTAAAGCTGCCTTCCTTGTACACCCTTCCACCAGGAATATCCACATCAAACCTTCCACAATCAACAACTTTTTCTAATCACATTTCACATAATCACATTTTTCACGAAATTTCGGGGTGGCGAAAATTGCATTGCATTGAACTTAAAACAGCCTACTTACAAGTGAATCTTTCTGTAAGTACTTCTGATGTTCCCAGCATCATCAACAACAACATGGGTGTTAGACAAATGTTCATCATCCGACCCCTTTTCTTGGAACCCTCCAAGTGACAACCAAATCCCAGATTCTCTACAATCCATTCACTCAAATGGGTCACTTCAATTTCCCCAAAAAATCAAATTTATGACACAAAGTTTCAATTTTTATTCTAATTTTTACCTTGCCAGGGAGCAGTACTTCTGCAAAATTGGACCCTCTAGAGGTTCTGCTATTTTCAGACTGTCACCATCTTTGGCACCAATAAATGAAAAGCTTTCCGGAAAGCAAATCAATTTTGCTCCGGCAGCAGCTGCTTCCTTCACATGATTTATAAATAAATAAATAAATTATTAATTACATAATTAATATGATAATTACATAAAGTTTGGAAGTGGGGAAAAGAGAAGAAAAAGAAGTGAAAGATGGGTACTTTGACGAGGCGAGAGCAAGTGGCATAATTAGCGGCGAGGTCGTTGATGGAGGTCATTTGGGCGGCGGCGACTCTGAGTGAATTGGCAGCCATGTTCGACTCTCCAGCGATAATGACGCGGGCGGACTGGGAACGGATCAGAGCGCCGTCTCGGAGGAGTGGGCTGACACGATAATTAGGTAGGGAAAGACAAAACGGCATCCTCGGTCTCTGCCATCGAATAGTCAGCCGGAAATGTTTAGGCAATGGCCACGTCGGACAGTTTGTATTTTTCTGTTGTGACCACTTCAAAATATCATTTTATACTTTTATTCGTGAAACAAGTACGGTAACGTATACTTCACAAGGATGACCTCAAGTTAACAAGGTTTTCAGTTTTGCAAGTATTGGGGAGGGAAAACCTCTATCGTACATAGTTTTATTCTTACTTTGCAAAAAAGTTATTTTCACGATCCGAACCTATGAGCTTTCAATCACAAATACTTTTGTTGCGTCTAGCTCGCCCTCTACCTTACTTCATAAGGCATTGCTAAATATTTCAACTTTTATTTTCATTTGGCTTGATAAATGTGCATTCTCGAATTACACGACAAGTAGTAAAATTTCAATTCTCATAATAAATACCAAAGGTGTCAAATAAGAAACATAATCTTGTTTTTTGAATCAGAAATATAATATTTATTCCAACACAATAGACTAATGTAAATAATAAGAGTGTACAAGCGTTAAGTTAGTAACTTAATACAATGCTAATCACTCGTCGCACGTGTTCGACAAAGTAATGTATTGATCTCAACAATTCATTGTTTAAAGCATAACAATTGATTAACGTCGTATTAAGTTACTAACTGATTAACATTTAGGTGCTTTTGCATAAGTTGTTCACTTTGGACCAAGAAGAAAATGAGATCAACAATACACTTATTCAAACACATCAAAATCTTATGTTGCTAAAACAAAACACACGCTTCGATTTTCACCAAGTACAACTAGAAGATAAATGTCTCATGTTCATGGATGGAAGTGCTTGCCGTTACAAGTGATTGCCGAAATGCCGAATTCTTTTGTTTAGTAAAAGGGGTGCATATCGATGTAAACTATGTGTCTAATGTGAAAGAAAAATCATGAACGAGAATCATGTACCAAGTTGTTTGTTGACATTAACAATTCTAGTAGACGGCAACGGTAGTTCACCTGATCTCAACAGTTCACTTTAACACACAAAAAGATGTTCGATTTTCGCCAAGCGATAGAAAACTAAAAACTCCCCTTGTACTTGGAGCATGGAAGGAATGATCCGAGTATATTTGCTCACCGTTATTAATTGATGATGAATACCATCATATTAGTTGTCAGTAAATGAGTTTAAGGTTCAAGACATCTGTCACATTTCTCGAAGCATAATTTTAGTGTACTTGAAACACCATCACGTGATGTTACTACTTTACTGCACTTATATCAATCATGACGTCCAGGCTTATTATAACATGTAAAATGATAAACTACGTAACTTGTATTCTTAATACCCATAAAAATAGAAGTGGTCCCTAAGTTTGTCAATCATTAATCATTTTGGTCATTATGTGGAAAAATCTATGTTAAACATGGACCAAAACGAAAAATATCTTCAATTTAATGAACAATGGGCCAAAATAATTTGACAAAAATTGGGACTTTTTTGTCATTTTATCCCTTATTTAATGGATATGGTTGATGATAGACAAACTCAGAGACCAGTTCTATCGATTTTAAATCTCATAGACCATTTTAGCTAAAAAGCCTTACATTAAATTTGTCTATACTATTGAAGTGGGGTTCAGACTTAAATATATTTATGTATCACACTGATATAACTAACTTGACCAAATTTAAATTTAGACAACAAAATATGTTTTGATTAAGACCGATGCAACATGATACAATTATTTATTAATTATTATGTGGTAATAGATAGGGGCAACAAGTTGACAACTATATTCCCAAGAAATTCCCAATCACAACACAAAATAATTGGCAAAGTGGGCAAAAATTCTTTTCTTTTGATGATTATTCTTGTTTAGAACAAGTTAATAGAAGGGAGTTGTTATGTTACTAAATAAAGGTTGGGGAAGGGGAAGATGAGCAAAAGTTGCCTAAAATGGTGGTTTGTTGGAGGTCAAAGTCAAAACCCCAACCCATAAATTAGAATACCAAAACTGAAAATCCAACCCAAAAGGCCTCAGCTCTCTCCCTAAACATGGTTTTTCAAGCCGAGGGCGAGGGGTTGGTTTCTTGTAATTGTATTCTTCCACCTCCATGCTTATTCATCTCTTTCCCTGCAAGAAACAAAGATTAAAACTTTGTTTTTAAATAATAAAGAGAACCAATTTATTGCTCCCAATCCCCCACCCCCTCTCTCTCTCTCCTCTCTTCTTTCTCTCTCTACCCCTCTCTTTCTCTCTCTTCATTCTTTCGATCTAACCCTTTCCACGCTTCTGACAACTTTTTTTCTGTCAGAACATTCCAAATCCGTTTCATTGGTTCTCAGTCTAATCCAAATAAAAATGTTCTTCTGAGCTCTCGGATGGTAATTGAATTGTGGTGGTCTTATAGACAAAGGGCCAGAAGAATCCCCCTCCAAGGCTCCAACATATATTGAAAACAAGGTATGTTGCAGATTTTGTTTTTTCAATCCCAAAGACATGAACTTTTGTTGTTTGAGTTATGATTCGATGTTGTTTTTTCAAACCCCAGATGTTTGTTTGGTCTTATATTTATGTTGGACGGTTGGATTTATGGTTTTGATGTTTTTTCATGACAAAGTTCATGTCTTTTCTGAAATACCTATTAGTTTTTAGTTTGCTTTTTAATTATCTACGAATATTGTGCTTGTTTCTGGACATGAACATTTTATTTATTTGTGCCCCATTTCAATTAATTACCTGCAAGTTAATTACCTCCTAAACTCATATTATCTGGTTTTGCACCCCTTTCAATTTGACTTTGGTTCTGTTTGCAATTTAATTTTTACTCCTAGTTTTGTAATTGTAGGGAAGCTAGAGGCGGCGCCAGGATTAGTTCTTGTTCACAACAATGACTCGTTGAATAATTTAATCCCGGGCCATTTGGTTGAGAATATGTAAGGGATGGTATCAGCTAAGTTAATGAGGCTTGTGTCACCTTGCTGGAAACCTTCTGTCGAGGGTGAAAATTCTAATAGGGGGGACGTGAGTGGTCGAATTGATGGTTTGTTGTGGCATAAAGATTCAGGACGTCATGTTAATGGAGATTTCTCAATGGCAGTAATTCAAGCAAACAACTTGTTGGAAGACCATAGCCAACTAGAATCAGGGCCATTGAGCTCACTCGACTCGGGTCCTCATGGAACATTTGTTGGAATTTATGATGGACACGGAGGTCCAGAAACAGCCAGGTTTTTAAATGAACGTCTGTTCAATAACATCAAGAGTGCGTTGTTCTTTCCTCTAAATTCATCTTCTTCTTCTTTTTATACATATATATCTGTTGAGAAATTTGGTAATTGCGATAACTAAACTAATGCTGCTATTATCAATAAACAACTGAGAAACTAGTATTTTCTTATGTCTTGCACCATATATAGTCGTTTTGGTGCGGTTTGCGTGTTGCTACCTATATAATTATCAAGAGCTATTTCATATGTAGCCCAAATGTAACTTTTCGGAAAATTTGCAGAGACAGAAAACTCTTCTTTTTTTTTCTTTTTCTTTTTGAATCGTCTGGGAGCTTTATTGTCTAGGAATATATTTGTAGTGACAGTTTATTCATTTTGCAATGCTCGGCCGATGATGTTTGAGTTAAAATCATGATCAGTGGGGATAAGAATGGCGTTATTAATTAAATGGAAATTGTGATGTTCCAGAGTGAGGTGTAAAACACGTGGTTTGGACAGGATTTCTTATCTGCTTTTACTAACAACCGCCTTGATCATGAATTATATATCATAATACTAATTATGAAAATTTACAAACAATTGAGGTTCTGGTCACGTAATAATCCCTATTAATATCAGTTTTTATGATATGATTGATATCGTATTTATGCAGGTACCACTTCCAGTTTTTAGATAGCTAATGCTTATATTTACTGACTTGACAGCTTTCCGTGGTGCAGAGTTCACATCAGAGAATCAGGGAATGTCTGCTGATGTTATCACGAAAGCATTTTTGGCAACCGAAGAGGAGTTCCTCTCTCTAGTAAAGAAGCAGTGGACAATCAAGCCACTGCTTGCTTCTGTTGGTGCATGTTGTTTGGTAGGCATAGTATGTAGTGGGCTGCTATACATAGCAAATGCGGGGGATTCTCGTGTGGTGCTAGGAAAACTGGAAAAGACCGTTAAACAGGTAAAAGCGGTTCAGCTATCGATTGAGCACAATGCAAGTTATGAATCTGTGAGAGAGGAGTTGCGCTCGTTGCATCCCGATGATCCACAGATTGTGTTATTAAAGCACAAAGTGTGGCGCGTGAAGGGTTTGATACAGGTGATTATTTTCTTATCTGTTCTTAATTTTGTGCATTATCTTCCGAGTCATTTTCTGTTACCCTATACACACTTACATAGTGATCGCTTTCCCCTTTGACTTCTGTGTGACTGAGTAATTTTCATCTTAAGACTTTAGTTTTCACAAATTTTCCATTTATTAAATTTCCTGAGTAGGGGCATGGTGCCATTATTATCAAATGGATTTAGGAACTAAACAGTTCTGATCACGGAGTTTCGAACAATTTTGCGAATTTGCAGGAGGAATGCTTTTGTGAATTTTAGCAAATGATTTGAGATCTTTTGAACATTAATATTGATGAAAAGAAATGTGAATAGTCATTCGGTGAAAGTACATGTGATCATAGTGGTCTTCCTCTCTCTTAGCGGATTTCTTTTACTTAAACTAGAACAGAGCTTCTTTAAGATAAACTATGAGACCTAGTTTGGTTCACTCAATTTTTGCGTTTAAGTTTTAGGTAATTCTCATTCATTGAAATCTCTATGCTCGTGACCAAATTTGCATGTCCCCTTCACAAAGATGGCATGGGATGCACAATAGAACAGCACTCATCTTAGAGATGTTTGCTTGTCTTGCAGATTTCAAGATCCATCGGTGATGCCTACCTAAAGAGGCAAGAATTTAACAAAGAACCTCTATTGGCAAAGTTCAGATTATCACAACCCTTCAACAAGCCGATCCTTAAAGCTGAGCCAACAATATTAGTCCAAAAACTCTACCCTGAAGATCAGTTTCTCATATTTGCATCAGACGGCCTATGGGAGCAGTTAAGCAATCAGGAGGCAGTTGACATTGTCCAGAGTTATCCGCGTAATGTACGGTTCCTATGTCAAGTTTTGACTTTCTTTTATATTTACTCGATCATGTTCTGCATCATGGTCGATCTGTCTTGTTTTGCCCGTATGAGATCATAATTTCAGTAGCTCGGTTTGGAATTGTCTTTTATTGAAGTTGCTATTACACCTGCGATAATGTTCCCCATATTTGTGCAGGGTAGCGCAAGGAAACTTGTCAAAGCTGCACTTCGCGAAGCAGCGAAGAAGAGAGAAATGAGATATTCGGACTTAAAAAAGATAGACCGAGGGGTGAGGAGACATTTTCACGACGACATCACAGTGGTAGTTCTGTTCCTAGATTCGCATCTGGTCAGTCGTAGCTACTGCCACGGGCCTCTGCTATCGGTTAAGGCAGCTGGTGGTGTCCCTGCTGGCACCTAGATTTACGAGGTTCAAATGCATCTATCCCTCAAACCCCCTGGTTTTCTTCACTTGTACTAAGAAACAAACGAAAGCTTTTGTTTTCTTTACAAAGAAGAGAGTTAAAGGCAGATTTTGGGTCTTTTTTTTTTTTTTTTTCCTTTTCTTTTCATTTTTCTTCTCTCTTCTGCTGATGTATAGCCGTGCTCTATGGATTTTTTTATTTTTATTTTTTATATTTTTAACTTTTACATTTAATGCCACATGAATTTTGAGTATACATGGAAAGTAAATAGCTAGAGAACTGAGAGTGCCTCAGAAAAAATTTCTGCAGAAAGTTCCTAGCCATTGGATCGTGACACGATGATTATTGTTATTTTTATTATTTTCCGGAGCTACTATTTGCATGAATTGTATGTTTGCCTTGAAATATAAACCTGGAAGCGTTGTGTCAATCGAAATTTCCAATTCAACTTGCACCTCGACTCTGTACCAAGCAATACTTCATGCCTTTTCCTACTTCAAAAATGAAATGCTTAGGGGTAGGCAAGTTCTCGGGACACCAAGGATAAATTTAAAGTAGCATATCGCTCAACGTTATTAACTTTTGTTCTAACCAATGGATAATTCAAAAGTTATTGTATAAGAGCATCTCCACCCGTTGGTAATACCAAGCCAGTATAAACAAAAGGGAAATCGTATCGGTTTTCCTGCCGTACTCTTTTTCCTGAGCTACCAATATTGGATGGATATCGATTTTGTGGGAACCTCTTCATGTTTGCTTGTTTGACTGACGATATTTGCTACATTGACGCTGATGGTAACATGGGCTATGCATGTTCTCACCAGCAAGACCAAGTCCTTTAATCGTCGATGATTGTTATGAACAGGGATCGGGGGAAAAGATACAATTGGTTCCTATTAATCTGCCGGACAGGCCTGCTCGGTACAAGGACAAAGTCTACCCTGCTTACGAGGTGAACTTCTGTGACTAGAGCATATGCCACAAGGCTGATTTCATTTCTTTTGTGCGCATTACAACGAAATGCTCTCTCGTATCGTAAGGCATCTAAAATACCGTCCTGTGATGGAGTTCAGAAAAGCCTCACCGGTTAATTAGATGGAGAGAAGACCATGACAATATTTGTTGAGAATGAGTCCCACGAAGGATCTTGCATGGGCTTTTAAGTAAGTTGGACTACTCCCCATATTGTCAGTTGGTTTTACGGTGGAACCTCAACTTTTTTCACGGTATCAGGGCAGGTTGTCCCACTTATCCCACGTGTGAAGCCCAACGGTCATACATGGTCCACATCATCCCGTTGTGTTGTCCACGTGTTATACTTAAATATTCGCCACACGTGAGGGAGCGTGTTGAGGAGGGATCTTGCATGGGCCTATAAGTACTCCTTATATTGTCAATTAGTTTTATGATGGAACCTCAACTTTTTTCATGGTATCAAGGCAGGTTGTCCCACTTATCCCACGTGTGAAGTCCAACGGCCATACGTGCTCCACATCATCTCTTGTCCCCATGTTAGGCTTACAAATTATCTGGTAGTTGTCTCACTTGTCCCACGTGTAAAGCCCAATGGTCATACGTGCTCCACATCACTCCTTTGTGTTGTCCACGTATTAGGCTTGAAAATTCACCATACGTGAGGAGGCGTGTTGAGAAGGGATCTTATATGGGCTTATAAATACTCCTCATATTACCAATTGGTTTTATGGTGGAATCTCAAATATTTTAAGGCCATTATGTCTGCACAAAGTTTCTTTGTGATCCGTATGCTTAATTAACCGTTTTATTTTCTGTACGAGGTGTGTCTGACATGAAATTTGAACGCAGGTGCCACCACTCGAACACAATAACGAAGTAAAAGGAGAGAGTCTTGATTTGATCGGATACATTGTCAGTCACTTTGAAGGGCCTTCACTGTTCCCTGATGTGAGATTTCGAGAATACTTGGTTAATGAATGTTGGCTTCTGTATGTTATACAAATGCTTACACCCTGCAGATTTAGGATCCTGGGAAGAAAGAGTTTGGAGACGAGTTGCTGTCCTACACGGACTCCTTCAATAGATCTGTGTTTTCGTCGGTTAAACAAGATGAAATCGAGTCAGATGGTGAGACGATCACTTGCTTCTTTCGATGTTATTTAAGTTGCAGTTAAGCGTGTGTAAGCAGATTGGACATTTGACTATATCGAAACTGCTCTTTCCAAATTTGAAGACGGACCTTTCTTTCTTGGCAAGTTTAGTCTGGTAGTATGGCTGCCATATCCGCTCTGTCAACTAGTAGTTCATATGAAGCTTTCGCCATGCTTCGGTGCAAATTTCTTATGAAGCTTTCGCCATGCTTCCGTGCAAATTTCTTATGAAGATTGTTCTTAATTTTCAGGTGGATATAGCTTACGCTCCCTTCCTCGAAAGGTTTCAGCTTTCCTTGATGGACTTGAACAAGTATGACATCGCTGCAGGGAGACCTAAACTGGCAGCATGGATTGACGCACAAAACGATTGGATTCCGAATTTGATAGAAAAGGTTACTCATGTGAATTCATCACTTTTTTGTAGGAGATGAACAAAAATGTAGCTTACAAACAAACCCGATGTGGCCCCAAAGAGCTTGTCGAACTTTATAGGAGACGCTTTTCCGTAATAATCTTCTTGCAGCATGTTCGCAAGTCAATTATCGTCGTTGCCAAATGCTAATCTCTTATGCCTCGTTTACTAATCCGTATTCAGATTGGGAGGGGAATTGAATTAACGAGGGATTGAATTGAGAAGAAATTGGTTTACTAAGTCTTCTTTCTTCTTCTTGTTCTAAATAACTAATTAATTCTTTATGAAAATTAATTAAAAGAACTTGAAAACTTTGAGTTTTAATGATAAGGGAAAAATAAAGGGTAAAGTGAATAGTACCATGAATGACTTTTTAGTGTAAAAATATGGTTTTTCGCTAAAATAAACAGTATAACGGACTTTTTGTTAAAACTCCCTTCTTCTTTCTCTCGTGTCTGCTGCTGCACTGGGTTTTGATGTGAAACCTGAAGGCGCTGGGTGTTTTGAACGGCACCGTATGGAAGAGAGGAGATACAGGTATTTTGGGTAGAAAAAAACTGATTTCAGATGAAGGCTTTCTCCCGGAATCGAAATACCACTAATTTGATTCCGGGAAAATCAGGAATTTGATTCCTTATTTTAGGTGGGTCGCACGTATAATTTCATTCCCCAATGTTGGTAAACGCTTGAAGCACTTGAAATAAGTGCAATTCTCATTCCTCTCACTTCATTCTCCTTACGTAGAGATGCCCCTAATGCATTGGCACTGCAGATGTTCCGGATTTTGCTCGTATGCATTTCCATGCACTGATGGTTCAGACTTCAGAGATACTCGAGAACCAAATCATAATTCTCCCAGAAACTGTGGTTGTAATTGTTGAAGCGAAACTTCATTTCTTGTATAATAAGTCAGCTGAATTGGTACTTTCCTAGTCTTTTACAAGAAAAATAACCTTTGCACTTCAATTGCTGGGGGCATGTCTCAAAACTATCTTGGCCTTGTTTGGAATTTGCTTCTGGAAGGGCTAAAAGTGCTTCAAGTCAGTCATAGAAGTGCTTTCTAGAGAAGCGCCTATTAGATGGTTTTTCAAGAAGCACTTACATTTTTTAACAAAACACTTCGAACAATAGCAATTAAGAACATAAACACTTTATAGTGAGCACTAGTTGGCTTCTTAAATGTTCTTAGAAAATCCTGCAAAAATCTAAAAAATTTCTGCTAGAAAGCAAAAGCCATAAGCAGTTGGAATAGCTAAGGGGAATTAAGAAAGCTGCTTTATTTAACCCTGGATACTTTTGTTTACACTTCTAAAATCAACAAACATATAAACCTTCTCCAACACCAAACCGCAGAAGCAACTTATTAACGCTACATCATCCATCCTAACCTCGCTTCAAAGAACCAGAATATTCCCGAATCAGTGAACAGGTAAAAATATTGAAGAACCGCCTTAAATACGATATGTAATGAGGAAATTTTGTTTCAACATCTCTATCCAGGTATTATCCCAACAAAATTAGATCAACCTGACATGACATCGGTGAGAATATAAAGTTGCCGAGGGCAGTAACTAGCCAAAATTAGACTACCCACCCAAAATATTAAAGCAAATTTTACTCAATACTGCAGGATTTTAGCAATAATGTGTTATCCCCTCCATCGATTATCAGCGTCATGCTCCGTGCGAGATTGATCATTTCTGGGTTCATGTACAGAGCACTGACAATTACCTCTTTGCATTTGAAAGGGTCACTTGATCGAGAAGTATGCATACGAGTGAACACAGAGCAGTTGCACGCACACTACCTCAGCAGTACTTTCCATATCTTGCTCATATACACGATCAAAGACCACACAGCAAGCCCCGCTGAAACATAAAGCAAAAAAACACCAGAAGCTACAATGACATCTGGTCTTCCAAGACTGCACAAGTTGAACAAATTGGGGTCAGAAACTAAATTAATAAACTCTTTCAACTGTATTGGCTGAAGAAGAATAGCTGAAAAATCCAAGAAAAAAAGACGAAGCACCTGTTGTCTCGGGTTGCCAAGAGGATAGTCAGCGCTATCATCTGTGTGGCTGTTTTCCACTTTCCCAAGTTACTTACAGCTACAGCCTGAGAATATTTATCATTTGAATGAAAACTTATTTTACGATCAAGTTCAGCCAATATCTTCTATCGGTTCTGAATTGAGAAGGCAGTTGTTTAGAGGTATCATGGGGAAGGAAAACAAACCTCTAAAAGTTTAGTGTTCTGAGAAGCAGCCCATTCTCTGACTGCTGACATGGTTATCTAAAAATATGACGCAAAAGTGATTAGTGAGACAGTGGTATCAACACTAGGCATCCATAAAAGTACAGGATAAAATAATTGCATAACAAAAGCGTTGGTTGGGGGAAGAGAGAGCAGTTGATAAGACAAGTACTCATTTGAGCAAATATAGGTTAAAAGGATTTGTTCATTGAGCCCAAAGCAGTAGAAGTTGGGAACTCACAACGCAGAATATGCACATCCATGCACAAAAAACGAATAAAAGGGGCACACTCAACCTAACATGGATGAAAAAAAACATGCCAATGTATTTGCAAATTGTAATTCAGCTGCTGTCCATATACGTGATATATGAACCCCAACATCTTTAGGAAGAGACCTTGTGCTTTCTACATGCAAGATCATGCCCAAACATTTTCATGTTAAATACAATCACACTTCATTTTTCTACTAACTATAACTTCCTAGTGAAAATACAATCAAATTTAATTTTGACAATTACTAATACACTAGTGAAATATTTCATTGGCTCACCAATACAAGACATACAAGAAAGCAAGCCCTAAATCGTTTAATTAATAACTAAGGAAATAGAGAAGACAGATGGAACAATATCATACCTCTCTACCAATTATGGCAATAGAAGGAACGACAAACAGCCATGGAACTTGCCCAAACATGGCAACGTCCAAAGGCCTAGAACACAATAAAACCAGTGTGGCTGCAACCATGAGCTGCATTTGGCAGGAATGACAATCAATTTAGAACCCTAGAACAGTTTTAGAGAAGAATTATAATAACCAAAGCACTCCTTTTTATTTCAAGAAGCTGAAGGTGACAATAGAAGTGTTCAATTTTAACTTTAGTATGGAAGACAATACCTTATCGGCCACCGGATCCAAAAATGCACCAAAAGCAGATCCTAATTTCATCTGAAACACAAATAAACTCTTATAAAATCAATAAACTTAACACGGATGAACAACCTCAAGCACTAAAATTCCCAAAATCAATTGAAAAGATAAAAAAAAATAAGTTAACCTTCCGAGCAATATACCCATCGAGCCAATCAGTAATTGCTGCAGCAATGAAAATACTTGTTGTGGTAGTCGTTCCCCACCAACTATCGATGTAGAAAGCTAGGACAATGGAAGGGAAAAAAACCAATGTTAGCCGAATCATATGCAAAGGCATTATGCTTCCAAAAACAAAATCTGCAGAAACCGAAAATGCATACAAAACCAGATGTTTAAACATCTCAATTGCCAAAATATGACCACTCCAATTGTATTGGAGCTCCAACAGTGACATCAATGTCAAAAAGCAAACAAAACCCACATGGATAATTCAAAAAAATTGGCAAAATACAACATACAAATCAACATCATTGCCAAAACATGAGTGCTCCAATTGCATTGGAACTCCCAAGAGAGACACCAACGCCCAAAAAAAAAAAAAAAAAAAAAAATTACCCAGGCAACCTAAAATTTAGCTAGTTACACAATTGCAATCAATACAATTTGCAACGAAAACGAAAGATCAATCGAAAGTCATACTGCTAATGAGAACCGGCACGGCGGCGACGCGGCCGAGAGTTAGAATGGTGGGCAAGGTGAGGAATTTGGAGGAGGATTGGGATTGCTGCAGCTGTTGTTTTTGTTGATGTGTCAGAGGAGAAAGCAATTCGTCTTGGTTCGGGTACAATTGGCTGTCGTACCAATCGGTGCCCTTATGATTCTCCGAACCCATGTCGGCCATAAGACCACCAACACCACCTGGGCCGGACTCGGAGCCGGACCCACCAGAGGACTCTCCGCGATCTTCGAAGGAACCGCCACTAGCGTTGCTGCGGCTGCGGGAGGAGGAGGAGGCGGAGAAGCATTTAGGGAATCTGGGGGCTAGGTTTGGGGGAAGAGGGAGAATTGGGGGCGGGAGGGTTGCACAGGGGGTTATCCTGCACCCGGAGTATTTACGCGTGTGCGTTAATGCCTCGATGAAGTTTTTACCAATTGGGGGTGGAGAGGGAGACGAGGAGGAGGGGGTGGAGGTGGAGGTGGAGGAGAAGATGGAATTGAAGAGAATTTGGTAGGGCTTTTTGGGGTATATACAGGAGGCTGCTGTGGTCATTTTGAGCACCAGGGGTGACATGGCTGCCAACCAAAGTACCAAACCCCGACTTCTACAAAAAGTGCTTTTTAAGTTTCAGCAGGACTCTCTCTTTCTCAGGGGAAACGGTTATAAAAACCAACGCAACTAAAAGCCGATGAGCTCTGCGTTTGCTTATTTTAGCAGCTCTATTTCTTCTTCTGCTTCTGCTGATGATTTTATTCCGTTTGGGAGGACGGAAGTTCGGTTGCTTTGGTTTTGGATGGACATTTCCACAACGAATTTTCCCATGATTCCATTCCACTTGTTAGCCCTTTTATTGTTTTCTAATAAAATAATAATAAAATAAAAAAGAGAGAGCCATGTTGGAATTATTTTTTTTTTTCGGGTAAAAAAAAGTTTCTCACGTATTTCATTTGCACTTTCAATTTTGAATTTATTTACAGTACTTACATGTATTTAATATAATTGTTATTTTAATATTTAAATGATCATGCTATTATAATTTATATACATATATTCCACATGGATCATGTCTGAGGAGTTTTTTTTTTTTTTTTTTTTTTTCCTGAAAGATCATATAAACTTATACACATTTTCAATTTGTCATATGTACTAAAGTTTTAAGCGATTTGTCATATTAATTTTATTAAATTGTTAATTAGTCATTTCATCCTAACTCTGTTATTTTTCATTCAAATAAGTCACATAATTTGCGTTTAGAATTATTTTGGACATTTAAATATAAAGAATATCATCCAACTTTACCATACATTGGAGGGTCCCCAATGACTATATTTTTTAGTCATCGTCACTTCGAAACACATAGAATCGAGTGTGTGTCGTTCCTCTCTTTCGAACGACAAATCCTCATATACATTATACTAGATCAACCATTTTTTTGTATCTTTTGAGAAACCCTAGAATTATTTATGGGGAGTAAAATGTTGAAATGTCCAGAATAACCTTGAACATAAGTCATGACTTATATTGTATGCAATACTTTATGTAGCTAGGGTGAAATGACAAATTAATGACTTCGAAAAGTTAGTATGACAATTTGCTTGAAGTTTTAGTTCATATGACAAATTGAAAAAGTGTATAAGTTCATATGACATAGACTTTGTGCTTCACTCCATTTTTTTTATAGATATAATTATTCCTTAATTACAAATAGTGGATAGTCACGGTGATTAACGCATTCCTCTTCAACTATTGCATTCCGGTTCAAAAGATCCTCATACTCTTGGTTTAGATTTGTAATAAAAAATATTCCTTAATAAAAGTTGATATTGTTTTAATGTTTTTAGCTATTTTTCTTAAAGGGAATTGTTATTGGCACTCCAAAAATCTCATTCTACACTCCAAACTTTCTATATTTGGAAAGAAAAATACACTTATGAGAAGTGTACAATGAAATTTTTGTAATGCCAATAACACTTCCATTCTTAAAAATGAAGGTATATATCTAAAATTTTTAAAAACACATGTTCGGTTCCATCTTAGCTCATTGGGCCCCCCAAATCCCACTCATCTTGATTCTTAAAGCCCAATAGTTGTTAATTTTCTAAAAAGAGAAAATTTAAATGATTAATGGCTTGTTTGGATGTGCTTTTAAAATGACTGAAAGTGCTTTTAGAGAAAATATTTTTGGGTTTCAAAAGCACTTAAAGTACTTTATGCAAGAAGCACCAGTTATGTGCTTCTTCCACAAAGCACTTTAAGTGCTTTTCAAGGATTTACTTGCATCTTTACTAAGAATTGGTTTTAAAAACATTTTTACCAAAAGCACTTTCAATCATTTCAAAAGTACATCCAAACGAGCTCTAATTTTAGGGAGGTGCTACCGATATATTCTTTTTTATTTTTTACACACATCTTTTAATTTTCACAGTCGATTAGAGGATAAAAATTAATAAGGGCATGAAAGATAAAAAGAGGTGTATAGATAGCACTGCCACAATTTAATTATCTTTAAAATATAATATTCTTCCACTGTCATTTTAATCAAAAACGAGAAAATCTGATTCTATTCAGTGAGGATAAAAATTTCAAGGGCTATGTTTGGTTTGGGGGACAGTGTTGCCTTTCTTTTTTTCATGGGAAAATAGGAGGAAAGTGAAGCCTCTATACTTATTACACTTTATATACTACATTTGTATCCTATCTCTAATAAATATAGTGTTATTACTTATTAGTAAGACGAGATTGTGACCAGCAACCGTCATTCATAGCATGGACAACAGAGGATCGTCACAGTAGTTAATATTCTATAATTAAAGAGAGGTGATATATACACGGTATGCAAAATGTAGTAAGAGTATGACATGATGCCAATATATTTCTCCCAATACAGTTTGACACAGTTGCTAATCTTAAGCCTTAAACACAGTTCATGTTTCGGTAAGGGTCGATGTATGGACACCTCCATCATAACAGAATTTGATTAAGTTAGCTTCATTTGAAAGCAGAATAAATATTTAATTTCGCCTGGACTTTAAGCTTTATTAGAAAATAAATAAACAGATTTTCAGCTGGTTTTTGGTTGAAAACGGAACTCAAACAAAATCAAGCAACTATCAGTCGGACATGTCAAGGCTCAGGCCGATCTTCACAAACAAAACTATTCAAACAAAATTTAGAACTACTCCTACATGCGCTTAGCACCAATTTATATTTGACCGTCATACTTATTCCTGCTTAGTTGATTGACGGAAAACTTTTTAATCAAATTTAATGGTCAAATTTGTGTTAATACTATATAGTTGTTAGTACTCCAAAAACCAACAGGATCCTCTCCCGATCCTTTTGGTGGGGATATTGTGGATCCGTGAATCGTGCGGTCAATTTTTGTCAGGTATTGTTTGTATTTAATTTTAAATAAAAATATTTAAAATAATTTCTGACTGCACGATGTACGATAAAAGGACACGATTCACGATAAACGGACATGATTTATAGATCTCCGCAATTCTCACAAAGAGAATCCGGATTCCTCCTAGAAGTGATGAAAACTGGTTACTTTAAGATGATTGGAGTAGTTGCAAAAATATTACTACAACAAATATCTACATAAGAACAAAATGTTTCAAATTTCAGAGGTCCATGCATAAAGGGAACCCAATTTGTTGTCTTGCACCGACACAACCTCTGTTGATCAAATCAAAATAAGAGAAGTTTGGCATTTACGAGAAAAAGGTCCGTTAGACAGAAAGCTCACCTGCCGACCGGAGAAGCTCACAGCCTCGCCAATTAACTGAGTTAAAAATTTAAATCAAATTAATTACAAAAATCAAACAATTACACCCACTTTGCTAAATTGTGAGTGAGGTAAATAAATTAAGCCCTCAGATCCCTTTTTTGTAAAGGCAAAAAAGGGTAAATTTTGTTTTCGAGGAACAAAGGTAAAACTTTAGTTGAGATGCATATGCTACTCACATTGCATATGGATACGAAGTGCGAATGATGATATTGGGCCTCCATGTTTGGCGCCTTGGTGGTTTACTCATATTGTGCGCACCAATATTTTTTTTTTTTTTTTTAACTTTTGTTTTTTTTTTTCATTTGACCCAAGCGAAAAGGAAATAAGAGATTACTAGTTTTTGTTTGAGAATAAATTATTTAAGTTTTCACCACTCCGAATTATATGTGATGATGGTGGTATTTACGATGGTGATGGAGGTGATGGAGGTGCCGTGGTGGAAATTGAAGGTGAAGTGGTGGAGTAGGGTGGATGATGTTATTTTTAAAACTAGTAAGGTTATATTGCAAATTGAAAAATTATTATTAAAAACTTAGCTAAACTAACTCAGTTTTTCAGTGAAAAAAAAAACACACAATTAAATGGAATGAGTCTAAAGCTACAAGTCAACTAATTTGAAGAACCAATAAGGTAACAAAATAATTTTCCATTTTTTAAAACGTGAACTTTTGAAACAAGGGAAACACATGGAATAATAAGGTAAGGGCTATCTCTAATGGAAATATGCAAAATTGAGATGTAAAAGTCACATTTCGATTACTTATTTACATTTTACGTTTTCAAGATTTGTATATTTAATTTAGTTTTACTGTAATGAGAGAGATGCAAATTTGTAATCTCATTTATCTTTTTCTCTTTAATTGGCTAGGTTTACATCCAAAAAATGCAAAAAAAAAAAAAAAATGTAAATTTGCATTTTTATTTACGTTTTTAGGCCAAGATGAGTGTTTTACATCTCTCGAACTGAAGAGTTTTTCGGCCAACAAAAAAATGTAAAATGCTCAGTTAAGACATTTTGCACGATCCATTAGAGATGCTCTAAACAATCAAATTTCTTTACTATTTCCTAGCATAACATCATACTTAATTTCTAGGATTAAATTTCTAAGAAAAACAAGAAAATTAGGTAAACAATTCAACACCATTTTCAAAACTGTTTTTAAACATTGATGTACATTAAAGAAGTGAATCCAATAATCCAAAATCCTTGATAAATTTATTCCTCTTTCTATCGAAGTCTTTAACCATGATGCTCCCACATTTACGTCAACGTTTCAATAAATATTCTTTATTTTTTGAGTAATTTTTTTATATGATCGACATGTCAAATAACGTTATTGATCCACTCATGTTCTAACATGTGTATTTACATATGTATTCTCTCAAATGGTGAAAAACTTTTACTATACCACATATTCATGACATTATCAATCATGTTGTCCACACAATTTAACACATGGATTACTATACTAATGCAATGATGTTGACCACATTTGTGACGAAAAACAATTATATTTATGCATCGTGATGTGCGTTTAATCTTCATCAATTTTTCTTTTTGTCATAACTAACTATTTAATTTTTTTAGACAAATAACTAACTATTTAATTCACTATTATAAAAATGCAATGGTGCCAACACACAAAAAAAAAGATTTATCACATTTTTATTTCTCAATGAAAAGTCAAACCATTTCAATAAAAAATCCAACAAAAAAACCAACCATTTAGTAAAATAAAATTTGAATTTTCTATTTTACTCTTGCTTCCGCAGAAAATAA